CTGCTGAGCCTACAGAGCAGTGCAGGCTGGGGTTCGAGTCAGCGGCACAGCGCTTGTCAGCCCACACTTGTGACCCCAGGTTTGATCTCCAATACTGGGAACGAAAGAGGAAACACGCTGGTCCCTATGGCCGCTACACCCTCAGGCTGCCACTCTGGGCCGCAGGACCTGCCTTGGCCGCCCTTGGGGTGCATGTTCGTGGGAATTCATCATTACCCGGCCTGCACATTACTCTGGGGCTGATTAAATTAGCGAATGCAATCACAATCTGAAGCAAGTTAATTGAGAAAATTTATTTGGGCCTGACAGTTTTATGCATGTTTGATTAAGTATTATAAGGTTTGTTTTTGATTTTGCATAATTTAACTTTAAATCCTGCACTGGGGGGGCCCATCAACCATTAACGACCAAAATAAACCTCTTTTAAGATGCATCCATTTATGATTTATTTCTGAATGCAATATCTTCCAGATTTCTTTCCCCCGGTGCTGTTGCCAAAGTGACAAATATGTTTAAAGTAACATTTTGAGGCATCCCATCCACCCCGTAAATCTTCTGGAATGGATACAATTCATTAGAAGTTTTGAAAGAAGTACAAGTTAGCATTTATACTGCAACAAGTGACATATAAATGCCCATGTTTGTCTTCTGAGCATGTCATAAAATACACCCGCCGTGGGCTCCGATCACCCACGCTCCAGGATAATGATGAGCTTGCTCACAAATCCTCACTGCTGTCAAACGCAGAACAGCTCCATCAACAGTTCAGGTTGAGTCTTTTGTGAAATTAGCACAGCCCAGGCTGGGAAAGAGGACAAAGGCAACCCTGAGAGCCAGCCCTACCCTCTCAGGTCTGGAGTGCTAGAAGGGCACAACCATCAAGCAGTCAAGGGCCGGGTGCCCTGGAAAAGGCCAGAGCCACCGACATACAGATGAGTGAGAAGACCCCTTCCCCATATTAGAAATCAAGGGGCTCCATTCACGAGCCCCATGCATGGCCGGCTCTCAGGGAGCATCTGCTTCCCGGTGGCATTTACTGAGCAGTGATTGTGCCCCAAACCTTGGCTGAGGACTTGAGCAAGCTACCATCCCTCGGAGCCCCTGTAAAGTGGACGCAGGAGCGGCATGTGCCGGTGGGACAGGCGTCCTCCTCCTGTCAAGATGACTGCTGACAAATCAAGGCTGCTGCTAAGCACCCAGCACATGGTGGCTTCAAACAGGAATGCATTGGACTGGGGTGTGGCTCTATGGTACAGGCTGTCTAGAATGTGCAACCCTCTGGTTAGAGGAGGGAAAGGGAAGAAGGAAGGGACAGAAAGGAAGAGGAGGAGGAAAGGAGGGCAGGGCTGGAAGGGGGCTCAGTGGTAGAGTGCTCACCTAGCACGCATGAAGCTCTGGGTTCGATTCCTCAGTACCACAAAGCAGAAAAAGCCAGAAGTGGCACTGTGGCTCAAGTGGTAGAGAGCTAGCCTTGAGCAAAAGAAGCTCAGGGACAGTGCCCCAGGAGTTGGGGGTGGGGTGGCAAGGATGGCTCAAGCCTGCTCAGGCTGCTATAATGAAGCACTCAGACCAAACAGAATCAACAGTAGACAGCTACTCTCTCACAGTCTTGGAAGCTCAAGTCTGAGGCCAACATATCATGGGACCCTTTTTGTTTTCTCCCTATGTCTTCGTGGGGCATCTTCTGCTTGTGTCTGTGTCCTGACCTCTTCAGCTTGGATTAAGACCCACCCTCGTGAACTACTTCAGCTGAGTGGCCTCGTTAAAGACCCTATCTCCAGTCATGTACTGACATCCTGGGGCCCAAGGGACACGAATCAACCCGACAGCAATTCATCTTCCTGCCAGTTTTCTAAGACAGGATCTGAAGAGTGAGCCTTGTCTAGTTGGAGGTCTGGACTAGGGTCCCTCATGAAGCTATGGACAGGGAATTTGGGGCCATAGGAAGGCTGAGCTGGGCTGGAGAGCTTGTGGGTAACTCACTGCAGGTCACAAGCTGGGAAGCTTCATGGGACTGCTCCTAAACTTGTAATTTCCCATTCTCTTTTGGTTGGTGGGGGGGGTGTGTGGAGTGGAGGTGGTTGTCATCATGGGGTTTGAACTCAGGGCCTGGGCACTGTCCTGGAGCTCTTTTTGCTTAAGGCTAGTGCTCTACACTTTGAGCCACAGCACCACTTCCCATTTTTCTGGAGGTTAATTGGAGATAAGAGTCTCACACATTTTCCTGGGTTGGCCTCAAACTGGGATCCTCAGGTCTCAGCCTCCTGAGTAGCTAGAATTACAGGCATGAGCCACTGGCACATGACCATTCTTTTCTTTTTTTGTCAGTCCTGGGGCTTGAACTCTGGGCCTGGGCACTGTCCCTCAGCTCTTCAGCTCAAGGATAGTGCTCTACCACTTGAGCCATAGCACCACTTCCAACTTTTTCTGCGTATGTGGTGCTGAGGAATCGAACCCAGGGCCTCATGCATGTAAGGCAAGCACTCTACCACTGAGCCACCTTCCCAGCACCCCCTTTTTTTTGTCAGTGATGGGGCTTGAACTCTGGGCCTGGGTGCTGCCCCTGAGCTCTTCAGCTCAAGGTGAGCACTCTACCATTTGAGCCACAGCACACCTGGCCATTCTTAAGTCTATTAATTCCTGTAAGCCGCAGGCCCTACAAAACCTGGCTGCAGGTCTGGGAAGGCGGCTCAGTGGTAGAGTGCTTGCCCAGCATGCATGAAGCCCTGGGTTCGATTCCTCAGCACCACATAAACAGAAAAAGCCAGAAGGGGCACTGTGGCCCAAGTCGTAGAGTGTTAGCCTTGAGCAAAAGAAACTGAGGGATAGTGTCCAGGCCGAGTTCAAGGCCCAGGACTGGCAAAGAAATAAAAACCCAGGGCGGTGTGCCACCTTCAACTCAGCAGACCCTGACAGTCAGCTGACCACTGACTATCTTCATGGGGCACTGGAACTGTATTCACATGGATCCTGGGGTTCTGGCTTCGGATGTGCTCATCTGAGAGAAAGGCCATCTCTGGCCTTGGTTCTGGATGTCGGCCTACACAAAAACCACGAGCATGGCAAGGCCCATTCCCCTCCTGACACCTGACATCACAGGAGGGCACGCACCCTGAAGCGGGAAGTCAGTGCTGGGTTCTCAAGCTCACACCTCCCAAGCGGCCTGAGCCAGAACCTGGGCCGGAGCCAGGGCCGGGCCGATGGATGGTTATGTAGCGTGCGCTGTGGAACGGAGTGGAGTGGAGCAGGACATCGACAAGGGACAGCCAGGTATGGAGTCGTGTGACGCGTGACCGGCGGGAGTGCGGAGGCAGGCCGGAGGACGCCTGCTCACCGCCCGTCCTCCCCGGCCCCGGGGAGACTCGGCATCGGCTGCCATGAGAGGCGAGCCGTGAGCTGCGATCCCCGCGTGGTACCGGGATTCGAACTTAGGGCTCACCACCTGACCACACTCCCAGGCCTCCGCGAAGCTTTCGGCTCCGGTGTGAACCTGTGATGGCTTCACAACCCACAGCCTGGGAAGTGGACAGACGGACGCCAAGGAAGGAAGACACCTGTCTCTTAGGGAGCAATCTGCCGCGGGGCGCGGGACGCAGGGGCGCGGGGCGTAGGGGCGGGGGG